GAATTATCGAGGGGCTCAGTTATGGTCTCAGGCTTAGGATGGCACGGGAGTTGGAGACCGATACTCCATTTCAATAGGTTGTGCAGATAGCTAGGATGTTAGAGCATATCTGGGTAAGGAAATGGAGGATAGGGAGGCCAAGAGGCCTCAAGGTACTGGAGGATTTAGTGTATTCTATTCTTCAGCTCTGACCCATCAAGGCGGTGCTCTACTAGTCGGCTAGTTCAGTCTGCACTTCAGGCTACCCACAGTACTCCAGCTAGCCAGGGACACTAGGGTACTCGTGTCGGACAGCCATCTTTCAGTGTGCCTACTACACAGGGTTCATACAGCATTTATTCCAGTCATCCGGCACAGACTCAATATCGGCAACCACGACTATAGAGGGGTTGTTATGAGTGTAGTGACACTAGGCACCTCATGAGAGATTGTCCCAAACTTCAGAGAGGCGGACTTCATCAGAGTACTCAGTCTATAGGTTCCACTCCAGTTGCTACTCCACCTGCACAGCCAGCCAAAGGTGGGGGACAGACGGGTAGAGGGAATCCTAGAGAGAGAGGTCGGGCTCGTTGTTATGCTTTCCCTGGTAGGGTCGAGGCTGCTGCACCAGATGATGTCATTACATGTATAGTTTCGATTTGTCATATAGATGCATCAATATTATTTGATCCGGGTCCTATTTATTGGTATGAGTCATCCTATCTTGCTTCATATAGATATGTTTCATGATTCTTGTACTATGATTATGTGTCTGCACCCGTTGGGGGATTCTACTGTGGTAGACTATGTCTATCATTCTATTTTGTCCACTATTGAGGTTTATGAGACTAGGATAAACTTTATGTTACTTAATAGGGTTGGTTTTTTGGTTGGTGTGATATTTATTCTACTTGTGATTCAGAGTTGAGGATGGGATCCTTGTATTTTCGTGTGGATTGGTATGTTTGGACCGAGCTACATGTCACTGTGGAGTTATGTCAGGATAAGATCCTTTTTGATTAGCTCTTATGTTTTGTTTCTCCCTTGTGGAATGGATTCGTCATACGGTATTGATAGGGAGTTGGGCCTGTTACTTGTTGGATATCTCTCTCATATGTCTCTCTCTTTCCATCTTCAGTTGTATTCGGTTGTGTTTGTTGGGTATAGATTGCATCGTATGTGTATAGGTGGTGTTTGGTGTGGCTTGTTAATTGGACAAGTGGCTATAAGATCTACATTTTTGTTACACAATTAGCAGTGTTGGGAAAGTTTGTAAAAAGGTTCTAGTTGATATGAGGTTATTTACCGGTACTGGGTTTGATGATGGGCAGCTACTGGTCGGAGGTGTTGCTAAGGGCCTATAAGTGATGGGATACGTTGTGTGGTTATACTTTTTGGATGTATTCATGACCTTTTGCAGCTAGTTTGGTTCAACACAGTGTGTTATATGTGAGAATCGGATCTTAGGAGGAGACCTTCGTGATGAGATTGGGATCTAAGGTTGAAGGAAGGATCTTCGATTAGGTGGTGTTGACAGGCTTATATGGATTGAGGTGACATGGGATAACCATAGGTATGTGTATGGTGAGTTCATACAATGATTTGACGGCTTTGTTACAACTATTGGCACGTTCGAGGACGAACGCTTGTTTAAGAGGGGGAGAACGTAACGACCTGACCGGTCGTTTTGATCATTTGCATTTTTCATTCGGTGGTTAGAGGTCGCGAGTAGCTTCATATGATGTATTATTACTTGCGAGTATGGTTGGTTCTGATTTTCGAACGGTTCGGGAATGATTTGTAATAATGATTCTCATTTTGAAAGCTTTAAGTTGGAAGAGTTGACCAAGTTTGACTTTGTGTATTTGATCTCAGATCGGTGTTTTGATGGTTCCTATAGATCCGTATGGTGATTTTAGACTTTGCTGTGTATCCGGATGTGGATTTGGAGGCTCCTAGGCTGTTTTGGATTGAATTGGCGAAAGATGGATAGTTGAAAGTTGGGAAGGTTGAAAGATTTTACCAAGAGTTGACTTTGTTGGTATCGGGTTCGGAATTCGATGCTTGGCGTAGGTTCATTGTGACATTTGGGACTTGCTTGTAAAATTTGAGGTCATTCAGAGTTGATTTGATATGGTTCGGTACAAGTTTTGGAAGTTGGAAGTAGTTCATTAGGCTTCAATTGAGGTGTGATTCATAGTTTTTATGTTGTTTGGTATGATTTGAGGCCTCGAGTAGGTCCGTGTTATGTTTTGCTATTGGTTGGTTTGACTGGAGGGGGTCCCAGGGGCCTCGGGTGTGTTTCGGACCATTTCGCTCATATTTGGAGTTGCTGATTTTCTGGTGTTCAATTGTTCATGGCAATCGCGGATGAACCAGCACGATCGCGAAGTGTTATTTGGGTTGCTGATGTTTTGGTCATCGCATTCGGGAAGAGAGGGACGCGTTCGCGGAGCCTGGAGGGGAGGTGTTCATCGTGTTCGCGCACATGGGATTGTGTTCGCGTACGTTGAAGACTGGATGGGTCTCTAGTGGATGGCCTTCGCGTTCATGTGTTGGAGTTCGCATTTGCGTAGGTTAATTGAGGTGATGGGCCACGTTCGCTGGGCTCAGACCGTATTAGCGAAGGATTTTGGCCAGCTGATGATTTATTCTTCGCGATTGCGAAGTAGGTCTTGCGTTGGCGAAGAGGACTCCTGGGCAGACTTATATAGTACTCTATTTTGAGAGCTTTTGTTATTTTATCACATTTTGAGTTATACAGCTAGATTTGGGCGATTTTGGAGGAAATTTTTACGATTTTGATTAGGGTAAGTTTTTTTTACTCGGATTTGGTTGTATTTCATGATTCCATCCTTGTTTTTAGCATTTATTTGATTAATCTAACTAAGAGAAATTGAGGATTTTAGTAAAAACTTCTCTAAATTTGAAGATCGATTTGAGGTCAGAATTGGATAAAATTGGTATGACTGAACTCGTATTTGAATGGGTGTTCAGAATTTGTGAGTTTTGGTCGGGTTCCGGGGGTGCGGGTCTGGGGTTGACTTTTTTATTCTCGTTTAAGATCGAAGCTTTATTCGTAATCGTTTCCTATCGCTTTTATTTATGATAATAAGTTATTTTGGCTAGATGCGAGCTGTCCGGAGGTTGATTTGCGCGGGAAAGACTTATTAGAGGATTGATTTAGCTTGTTTGAGATAACATCTTGCCTAACTTTGTGTAGGGGAACTACTCGTAGGATTTGGTCTAATTACATTATTTGAATTATGTGAAAGACGTGTACACGAGGAGTCGAGTGTGTACCCGGGCTTATATATGAAAATTGACCGGTTTAGACTCTTAGGTTATTAATATGCTTTTAATTGAAGTTGTTGTTATATGGAATATCGTTTATTTTTAAGTTAGGGCTATGCTTTATTGTGATATTGATATTGCTATTTCGGCTATATTGTGTCATATGTGGACATATTGCGGGGATTGATTGTTGTTGTGTGGAGCATAAGGGTGGCATTTCACTATTGTTGATTGTGCAGAGTGATACGGGTGGCTGTTGATATGTTGTTTGGGCGGTGAGATACGGATGGCTATTGTGATATTGTCAATGCCACCGATAAGGGTGGCTATATGGGGATGTTATGTGATGGCCTGGGGGCGTGTTGTTGATAAAAGAGGAGTGTTCTGGTTGTTGTTTTTGACTTCCTTGTGTGTGTCATGCATATTACGTGATTTGTTGTGTTGTTCCCAATGTGCTACTCGGTGTCTATGATATTACTTGATTATTTGAGCTGTGATAGTACACTTGCACATGCATACACCGTAACATGTCAATTATACTACTCTAGGAGTATGAGACTTGATGTTCATTGATCATGTATATGTATTCTTGTATATCTGCTTTCTCTACGATGTGGTTTGGACTGGTAGCCCATGACTATGCCGAGCGAATTGTGATATTGGCACCTGAGTTTTCCGTGCGGTTGTGACTAATATTAGGTGCACAAGGTTCCATGTGTATAAGATTCATGATTTGTGACTTGAGATTTGGGAATATGAGGTGTGGTGCCTCGGGCTGACTCTTGTTCTAAATCCTGTGTCAGAACGATTTGTTGATTAGAACTATCATTGTTTTTCCTTAATTGCTTTTACTTGTATTTTATTTGTGCTTTGATTATTTTGTTGTTTTATCACATGATTTCTCTTTGTGTCATTTATTTACTTTGCTTTCCGTTGCTAGCTTTATATTGATATTTTGTACAGGTTACTTGATTAGTGAGTGTCTTGACTTGAACCTTGTCACTACTCAACCGAGGTTAGTCTTGATACTTACTGGGTACCGACCTTGGTGTACTCATACTACTCTTCTACACATTTTTGTACAGATTTAGATATTCGAGCTAGCAGATTCAGGCAGTGTGAGATTCTTGATCGTGAGGATTCAAGGTAGAGCTGATTGATCGTCGCAGTCCGGAGTCCTTTCCTTACTTTATTACTGTCAAATCTCTATCCGAACAGTATTGTATTTCGAGTGTTTCGATGTATTCAGTAGAGTTCGTGACCCTGTACTACCTAGTCTTGGAAAATTTGTTATGATTATTGTCGCGTAGGCTTGTATAACCTTTATTTTTGTATTTATATTAAACCATGTTTTCATTATGTCATGTTTAATTGGTTTAACTATCGTAAGTGATCGGCTTACCTAGCTTTAGAGACTAGGTGTCATCACGATCCATAAGGTGGGATTTTGGGTTGTGACAGTTCAACTAAATATAGAATTTTAAAAAGCAATAAAGACTTTTCAACTTGTGATCCTAAATATGTCACAACATTTTTGTGACTTTAAAATCATATTATTAACAGTAAAATGAGTATGATGAGACTAAATTATTTCCGAAAAGACAAAGTTGTCATTGTGAATTAAAAGGGAAAAAACATGTTTTTTTTCCAAAAAAAACAGAAGTGGTAATTGCAATTGGGACCAAGTAAAAGAAAAGAGCGTCACATCAAATGGAACAAAAGATATATTAGTATCCAATAAGATCTGAGTTCCTCATCTCTTTTACCTCCATGAAAAGAAAGCTCCATTCTATATATCATGTAGGACAAATTTGGAAAATTACAATCCGGAAGCTCCCTCAAAAAAAAATTGCCAGTAATTTGCACTATGAAGCAACCCTTGAAATGAAATCGAATTATAGCTCTTAAATTCACCGAAGTGGAGGTCAGTCCAACCTATAAAGATATCAGTACAAAAGAATAAAGGACAGGAACTCCACAGAATGTGCAAAGTAAAATCAATGATGGTCTCTGTATTGGTTGAGGCTTGATGCAACTATCTGGAAGTTCCAAGCTAAAACTGCTGGCATTGCAACTCCAAATTTCTGGAAAATAGAGAAAGAAAAAGTACGCTATTTGTTGGCAGGCTCCTTGCCACTCCTCGTCCCAATCCAAATGTCTAAAGTGAGATGCTATTTGTTGGCAGGCATCTCAATTCACAATTTCCTTTGAGAAAGGCAAATGCTTGTAAACTGACAATTAGTCAGCCTGGTTGCTTTAAGGAATTAAGCAGTTTCTTCTATCGTAATCTGTATAACCTACATCGACCATGCAAAGACCATCGGGCGGAGCAGGTGGAGCAGTGGCACGCCTGCAGGTGGCATCTATCAGCCTCAGCAAGGCATCATCATCGGCTCCAGCAGCTGCTTCCCTAATCGCTGTTGCCACAAGAACACGAACCATCTGCAAAGCATAGCAAGTGATTACGCATGTTGCAACAGTTCAAATGACATGGCACAATGGTCCAAGTTACTCCTTTAATGACATAGTGACCTGTAGGTCAACAGTTGAAAGAACATGGTACAATCGGAAGAGAAGTATAAAGAGTATATAGGCAACGGTAATCTTCCTTCTGAACTATCACATCAACACTTTTTCAATCTCTCCTAAAAACGAAAAGAAACCCGGTTATGCTACAGGTCTAGGGTGTGAGCAGATAGTTGTGAAAGAACCTAAGCATCCAACACAAAATCTTACGACAAAGGGTGGAGTGACCAAAGCCTTTATAAACCCTTCTGGAAGCCTTAACAAAATCCATATGGGACAAACATACTCAATACTCTATTGCAAGTGTAACATTGATTTTGGGGTTTACACATGAACGTTAATGTGGATTACGAGTGTGAGGGAACATATAGAAATTTCTCGGAACAACCATACCCTCCGCAAGAAACGGTTAGCGACCAACTCAATGCACATCGTCTTCATATGACCCCCGCCCTACAATTTCAGTACAAGAAAAGCAAAGGATTCTTAGTGAAATAATTGATTTAATGGCAATGTAACTGCACATCAATCAGATCAGACATCAAAAGTAGTTTGAATCCAACAGCTTCAGAAGACAATTAAGCAGCAAAAGAAAGCAGAGATAGGGTCTATGATGGCAAAAGGAAGAAAAAGAACAGGATCAGAAATGAAGAAAAAGATGAAATAAAATAAGCACAGTCAACCCTCTCTATAACAGCCTCGTTTGTTACGATATTTTTTGACTTTTATAGTGAATGGTTGTTATATACCTATAACATCATTTGAGGTCTAAATACTTTTTGGCCTTTATAGATAAAAATTATCCAAAAATCAACTATTTTTCATTTTTCAATGTTACATATAAAAGAAGAGAAAATTATTCAAATTTAGAATCTCAAAAAATATGCATATTTCACTTGTTAAATATTGAAGAAAGCTAATAAGTTATTAATAAATTCATAACTAAACTTATACAGATTTAAACTCTACGGCACGCACTTTAAAGCTACTTAGGAAAATAAATTCTTTAAAATTAATAAAAGAACTTTGTAATTGTAGCTTGTTTCATAGATTTCATTATCTTACTAGCGATATAACTCTTGAATTGGTTAAGATTTGTGTCCAAATTTTCAGCAAAAAGGTATCCAATAGCTTTCCCTTGAAGACAATCTAAGAGCTTAACAGTTAAATCTTCTATCTAAATATTTTTTTGGCATTTGTCCAATGAAAAAGATATCATGTGCAAATCTTGAAATCCTATGTCTTATGCAAAATAGAAACTTTGTTCAATGGAAAAAATTATGTGCATATTTTTAGAATTATTATTAGTAACATTAAAGATTCTATATGGCTGTTCTAGAGGGGTTAATTTTACAAAATGCGTTCTGCTATAAATATGGTTGTTGTTGTTATAGGTAAAAAGCTGTTATAGAGAGGTAAAATATAACTTAAAAAATCGATTCTGAGGAAAACTTGGCTTTTTTAGTGAATGGCTGCTATATAGGGATGCTGTTATAGAGAGGTCTGACTGTACTCCAAATTCTTAAACTAATATCCATCTTTAATCCACAATGTAACTGGCAGCATCACATGGAAACCAGTAAAGACATTTTCTTATGTAGGTTTGACAAAATTTTAGGGTTTGGCATACTTTTAGACACAAATGAGTTAGAATCTTTTTGATATTGATGAAATTAATAGTTTGTTGATGTAAAAGGGAAATCCACGCATACAAGGTGTATACAACAATAGAGAATCTAAAAGAGGTGGTCCTCTAATATACAAAAAAGACAGAAAATACAACTGATCTTAACATAAGTGCCAAACGAGCTCCTTCACTTGCTCACCTTCTCTGCCTCTTCCTTTTGAATTCCCATCCTAGGGGCATATATGACAGGAATCACACATTTGATTCCAAACACACTACACACCATATACAGTTGCCCATGTGCATGCAGACAGTGCATTTTTTTAAACCTCTTAGCTCAATCATCAAGCGAAACAAAAATAAAATCAAACACATGTACTCAAAAGTTCATCAAAATCCTCCTCATGCAAAATGAACCAAGCCGCATGTTCTCCGTTAAACACACAACAAAAACTGTAGATATCCCAGCATACCACATGTTTCATGAAGAATTACAGAATGCAAAAATTATCTTTGCCTCAATCCATATTACCTTCTTGTTTTGCAGGGTAAAATCCAAGTATACCTCTAGTCAAAGTGACTCTTTTTTAGACAACAATGCAATGTTTGGTTCATTGATTCCTCATTCCAACTCCTTCGCCCCCCCCCCCCCCCCCCCCGATTCTTGTGCCTTCATATTCTAAAACAGTAGGAAATGCTTATTCCTAGAAAGCGTTTTACAACTAAATCCTAGAATCCTCTGGTCTCGCTCTCACATGAGGAATGGGCATCCCAAATGTTCTGGCGCCTTTTAATTTTATTTTGGATTGTGAGGATCTATTATCTTGTTCCTAAATATAAGAATCCAAAAATTAGTCACAAATCTCTTCCTCCAAATCAAGCATCAGATAAAAGCAGACAGCTTGTTGTTAGAAGTCAAAAGCAAAGACTTTCACAAAAAATTAAATGGGACGGCTTTACAGATGTATACCCAAAACTTCTAATCAAAATGGTCTTCAAGAAACGTTCTAAAGAACTGATAATTTACCTTCAAAAGCCTTTAGTTAAGAACTTGCTCATATTTGATCGATAAATTAACATATATAGACATACTATTCACTGCATTTCTAAACAGCCACACTAAATTAAAGAAGACTTCTATAAGTTATTCAGATGAAGGAACATGGATCTTCATGCATATGAAGACACGTGTTCTCAACAAGAAGCATGTGAAAATCCACAATTTAAATAAGCAAAACCAACAAGCATAGTAGTAACTGTTTGATACCTTTGCACATGGTATTGAGATTTCAATAGCTCTAGCATGGAAGACAAAGCACTCTGTTGGTGGACCACTGTGACATTCATAAAGATACAAAAATCTGGTCATCAGTCTACCATTAAGTATGAATACAATGTGAAATGTAACTTTATAGCTGAACATGCCTACTCCTATGGCTTGGTACTGGAAATCATGAAGTACACATTTCTTTTCGTTCTTCGCTGACTTCACTTTACTTTTCTAGGGACATGATCAATGATCCGAAGCTAAAATGATTTGATGTAGATAGTGCGACAATCACAATCATCTTGTGACACCTTAGATTAAAGTGCTTTTTCAATATAGTTTCTTCTCCTAGGAGTAGATCATGACTAATAGTAAATATTATCATAATAACAACGTAAAATAATAATGGTACTAGTGTTAGTAATTATTTCTAGGCGTTATTATATGATGATGATGATGACGACGACGACAACGACAACGACAACGACAACAACAACAACAACAGCAACAGCAACAACAGCAGCAACGATGATGATAATAATAATAATAATAATAATAATAATAATAATAATACAATGCATACGTGCATATATGATTTTTGATGTTCTCTCTGTTTCAACTTCATAGCCGAGGGTCTATTGCAAACAGCCTCTCTATCCTCACAAGGTAGGGGTAAGGTCTGCGTACACACTACCCTCCTCAGAGCCCACGGTGTGGGATAATACTGGGTATGATGTTGTTGTTGTTGTGTTTCAACTTCATATACAAAAATCTCAGTAGTACTAGCCGTTCATTAAACATCTAGAATGAGAGATTTAGATGTCAAACTGAACAGATATGTTGAAGATCAACAGAATTTAATTTCTTCTGTGATTTAGTGTAATAAGGGATAAAGAATCACTGCAAGAAGTAAAGAACGATAATGGGAAAACAAAACTTACGTGTTCCTTGAAGCTTTAAGATCTCGTGCAAACATTTTGTAAGATAAAAGCTTTCCTTCAAGCTGACCCAAAAGCCGGTTAACCTTGCTTACTTCAAACTTGGTTGGTTTGTTTCCATGCACCAGCTCGTCATTGTCGTCATCCATTACATCTACATTACTTTCGTCAATTGCACTTTTACCACATTCATTCTGTTGATGAACATCAGTGCAACTGTTGATCCACATTTGACCATCTTGCTCTCCATTCAATGCATCATCAATAGGGAATAAATATAAATAGTGTCTCCATTTTGCAGAGAAGTTGGGATGAAAATCGCGTGATACCTATTGCAAGAAAAATTTATTTTTGTTACACCTAATCCGCAGATTAAAAGGAAAAAGGAAGGTATAATTGATGTTGTGCAGACGGTAATACACCCTTTTTTGATAAGTAAAAAAAATCTATTGATTTCTGTAGCACAAAGTAGGTACTTCCTATGCAGAAAAAGATGGACTTAATCGCCTTAAACTATGCTGGGAGTGTAAGAACCCAAAATTGCTATCAATATAATTTCCAAAAGACATCCTACTCATAAATTCAACAAGTAAAGACATCAAGATTTTACAGAAGAGGCGGATGTTGCTTTTCTTTCAAAACATACTGATTCTTTTGAACCAAACCTGTCCGAAATATGCACCATGTGTAGTATGCCCAATTAACTCAAGAAGGTTGCAATTAAACCATTAGTGATTCACAAATTGCAAAAGTCATTCCTACCAATCATACTCCAAATGCTAATAGAGATTGGTGAATGTGAGCGTCAGCCTCTTCTATGACAATTTGGCAGCAGCGGAACAATGCTTTGCAAATGGAAGTTACTGATTTAATCTACTAGTGAAAAGGAGAAGGATAAATAGCAGAGAAACCCCCTTTTGCATACACAGGGCTAAAATCACCATTTAGCAGACTAGAACCAGAGATGAAGAGAACATCATTCAAGATGTCGAGAAGAAGAAAACCAAAAACAAACAAGAACAATGAAATTTCAACTCAAAAACTCATTTTTTGAAAGCATAAGGCCTAGTAGAACAACCATGGCTATCTTGGAGAAAGGACCCGGTAAGTCCAGCACAGCAGATTGTAAGAATTGTCCCACAACAGAAACTAAATAATAAGGATGCTCTTCCCAAAGCTTTCCTTTGTTCTTTCAACTCCACTTCCTCAGTTGTTAATGCTGTCATCACCATAAATGTGGCAGTTGAGGGCTTCTCTTCTTCTTCTTCTTCTTTTGTTGATAAGTTTGAGGGCTTCCTTTTTGTTCATCAGTCTTTTGTATGTGTACGTATAAATGGCAAGAATAGCTTTATTCTCACTTATGCCCCTAGACTACATGATACTCATTCAGTTACCCACGGGATTTAGACAGTTATTAAGCCAAAATGGGCTTTCCACATGACTTTGGAGAAAAAATGGTTTAATGCTACTTTTAAAACTTTATGGGCATTCACCAAATAAAAGAAAATCTAAATGGTAACAGCTGTATTTAACCAAAAAAAACTTAAAAATATTTTTTCCCCAACGGACATCATGCATTCAACAAACCAAAGAATCAATTACCTTGGTGAGAGAAACCACCCTGATCTTTCCTGGTGCTGCTTTATCAATGGCATCTTTTACATCTTGAATCTTAATGTCCTTTCTCCAAGTATCTAGACATAGAAGTAAACCAATATACTTATCTCGAAAAAACATGAGGAAAAAAAATTCACAAGTTGAACATTAAGCTTTTTGGATATGAATGTAATCATGATTTTATGATTGGCTATATGCCCATGAGATCCTTAATCAAAATTGACATGAGAAGTATTTATAGCATGTTAATTGGCCTTTGAATGTCAACTTCGTAAGTTCCACCACTGGCATTGCCAAGTTCAAAGGAACAGGTCAACTGGACACACTGAATTTTGTTGCTATTCAACTTCTCAATTCTGTAACTTTAAAGAGGATTCTTGCACCTGATTATACTAATATATTCTCAACCTAGTCATGTGCAACTTTTGTATAAGTATTTCAATGGAAAAAAAATTGGGAACTTTTCTTAATCAAGTCGAAGATGCTATTCGTAGGAGTTAGGACAATAATGTATTATTGGTTAAAAGAGTTTAAGTTTTTTATCTGTGTTATGACAGCATCGTTACTTACTTTATGACTCTTTTCCCCATCCCCTGTAAGGTTCTCAAACAACTAGACAAGATCAGAAGGAACTTTCTATGAAAAGGAAATAGCCAAAGCCACAAATTCCATCTCGCTAAATGGAGCAAAGTCATTAAACCCAAAGACAAAGGTGGCTTGGGTATCAAAAATCTAGAAATCCACAGCAAATGCATGTCGATGAAGTGGTTATGGAGATTTATATAACCAAGATATCGTGGCTTGTGGAAGGAAATAGTTACAGCTAAATATGGGAAACATAGCCATTGGCGTAATAAACCTCACAGATCCTCTCTCAAGGTCTGAATTCTTCAAAAAGCAATTTTCAAGATTGGAAGTGGAATGCACATTAGCTTTTGAAAGACATCTGGATGGTCAACAACACTCTCCAACATGATTATCCGAGCCTTTTTCAGACTGCCTGAGATCCAGATCGACCATTGCAAATAACAGAGGTGACAGCAATTGGGATATTCAATTTAGGAGGAATATACAAGATTGGGAGCTTGATGACCTTCTTGATCTTCATGCCAAAATAGAAAATAATAGAACGAACATGCAAGACATACAGAGAATAAGGTGGAGTAGAACCAGTGATGGTTCATTCACTGTTAACTCAGGATATAAACACTTCTGTTCAGCAGATGGTATGACTGATATACATGGCCATGGAAGTTGATATGGAAGACAAAGCTGCCAACCAATGTTATCTGCTTCTGCTGGGAAACACTGAACAAGGCATGTCTGACTCAGGACAACCTTATCAAGACTCAAGAGAGGCTTTCAGCTTGTAAACAGATGCTACATGTGCCAACAGAGTGCAGAAAACATCAGTCACTTATTTCTTCACTGTACTATCACAGCAGGCTTATGGAGCATGTTCTTTTCAATTTTTGGACTCAATTGGTTATGCCAGAGATTGTCAAAAATGCACTTGTTGGCTGAATTTCACGGAAAGTTGGAAAACCCATCAAAAAATCTGCGAAATGATCCCTGGAAGTATCTTTTGGTGTGTTTGGACTGAAAGAACCGCAGATGTTTTAATGAAGTTTCAACTTCAAGTCACTCTCTAAAAGCTAAATGTCAACTCAATCTTTTATGCTGGAGCAATTTGTCTTTTGTGAATAATTTTGATCAGTTGTTGGATTTTGTTAGCTCCCTGAACTTATGATTGGAACCTCTTATGTAACGCTAACTTTCTCTTTTGTACCTAATGCATCTTCTTGATGCCATCTGTGGACTTCTTTATCAAAAAATAGAATTTAAGCTTTTTAGCCACTTTAAATTAGCAGGTATTCAATAAAAAAGGCACATTCTTTTTTGTAGAAAGACCCCACAGAAGGAATAATTTGGCATTGTTACTAGGTTTCAGAGTTCCTCTTCTTCAATCTTGGATAAATCTCTCGATATTAATTTGTCCAGATCTTCAGCTGTTGTGTCCAACATATGATTTTTGGGAGAATAATGTATTATTGATAAAAGAGTATACATTTTAGTCATTTTACTCTTAGTTGCTCGGACACGGTGCAGGTGTCTGACACGGGTGCGGATCTAGAGGTCGGATCCTTCAAGATGTAAATTCAAAGATTCGGGGATATGGATCCTAGTGCGGATACGGGTGCCGGGATCCAGCTAAAAATAATTCAAAAAAATAATATCTCTAATTTATGAGAAATTTTGTGGAATACTTACATATAGCTTGTAAAATATTGATTTCTTTTTTATTCTCAAGTTGTAGATAAGTAAAGGATTGAATTCCTAGATAAGGTATGCTCTTTTCTTCAACTTTACCCTAGTTTTGGTTCTGATTACGAGAATCAAATTGTATCTCGTCTCAAATTTTTCCGTCTGTCGTGGTCAAAGTACCCAAAACTGTTTGACCAGAGCCGATACGGATCCCATACCCACACTCATACTAGTATCGTGTCACACGTGTGCGGCACCTAAATTGCCGTGTCGGAGCAACTTAGAATTTTTCCTCAACCTTATTGTTTAAGTTCTTAAATTGGTATGCATTTGAATCGATAATCCACTGTTTTATAGAACAACCCCTCACAAAGAGGAATATGTGGCATCGCCAATGGACTGAAAGATGCTGAAGTTTGTCCAACTTACTATGGGGCAGGGGACATAGCAAATTTAGGGCTAATTTTCAAGTTTCGAGGCTCAAAAGATGCAAAAAGAATGTTTGGTCAGAGGGTATTTTTAGAGTTAAAAGGAGATTCCAAGTTGTATAGGGCATTTTTAGTAGTAAAAGTAGTGGCAGCAGTAGGAGTAGTGGTGGTGGTTGCGGTGGTGGTGGTGGTGGTAGTACTAGTTGTAGTAGTAGACTAGTAGTACTAGTAGTAGCAGCGGTAGCAGCATGAGAGGTAACGATCTAAAAAACATATGAACAGGCAAGTGGCATTTTGATCTGAAGTAGGAGAAAAAAAGTAATGTGCAACACTAAATAAGGCCCCTAACAGATTAAGGGATTGCACATCCAAACTTCACAAGACAGTATACTGCATCTTTTTTAAATTCAATTTAACTGCTAAATTAAAGTCAACATCATATCCTTCATGGTACAAGCAAAAAAACACAGGACACATCAAAAATTAAAGCACAAAGCATACGGATATCAAGATATAGTGTTGCCAAGGCGAAAAGTATAGAAATGTGCCGAGATATGCTAGAGCTTTATTAAAGTGCATGCTTTAGTGACGAAAGGAGCAAATGAAGAAATAATTTAAATTGCAAATATATCTGCAATGCAAGAAAAATACAAGAATAAACACACACAAATTATGCAACAACTGTACTTGAGTAAAACATATCAATAGTAACCATGTTAATCAAGTTCGAAAATCACTTTAAATTTCTAATATAAATGCAATAATGAAGTTTTAAGTATCCAAATCAGATTTAATGAACAAATCACTATCATTATCATCCATTAAGTTTTTTTAACCATTAATATGTCCCTGTTCAAGAGGGAGTTCATGGGCGCTGGCGCGCTCGCCAAAGCGCCTTGGTGTCTACACTAAAGCACAACTGAAGCGACTACAAGCGCCCGGCGCATACTGCACCTAATTTCAGGGCTTAATCGTGCCTTATAACAACAGTGGCCATTAAGATGAGAATTTTGGAAACTGATTCATATAACTGAAAGGATGGTAGACCAAGCTAGGTGACTTACAGAAAGAACAAACTTGTTGAGAGGCTGAAACGCCCTTGTCGGTACGCCCAGCAACTACAGTGCATGCTTCTAATGGTAAGTTCTTATCTTTTAATAGTTGAGCCTTCCTCTCATCAACAAACTGACCTAGAGATCTTTCGACCAATCTGAATAAAGCAGAGCACACGACACATGAACACCATACCAACAAAAGTTATCAGTTGGTTTGATCTCAAATAAAATCAGCTCTTATCACGTTAAAAAGATAAATATACATGCATGAGAATTTTGCAGAAGAACCCTTTGGACCTACTATCGCTGATCCAATTAGACAAACTAAAAGTCTAAAGAAGGCAGCCAAAAGTCCAGCACCACCTCTGTCTTCTGCATGACCTTATTACTGGTGTTCTCTCACTGGATGTCTTCTATGAGGATCTATGGTTTTTTCTTTTTAGATCTTGTTTTTTTATCATTCAGAATTCCTTCAATATAACTCCGTAGGGATCTGCAAAAAGAATGTAGCTTGAAAACCAACTGCCGATGCAGGGTATAGCATATCCATATCCCCCTAAGATAACCGAACAAATGCAAAATAAAGTCAACTACTGAAGATATAAAATTGTTCATCCAAGATATAATAACAAATCTAGCAACTTGAACTTAACCATTGACAGTGTCATGCACAACTATAAAGTAATTGAGAGCATACATGCTGCTAAAAGAATGTCAAGTCAAAAACTATCAGTTACTCATGAAAAACCATGGAGCATGTGACACTCCATTCATGATATTAATGTCCGTGTTAGAAAATACTTACCAACAACAACAAACCCAGTGAATGTCCTTGTTAGTAAATACTTACCCTTGGACGGTATTCAGACCAGGCTGCTTCTGCCATCCATCGAAAGAACCTCCATGATAGGAAAGGACAATCTTAAAAGTTACTCTATCCCATCTACCGCCCCTATCTTTAACTGGAAAACTAACTACCTCAGATTTCTCATGGTCCTCTCGAATTTCAGCATCTTCATGCTCAGCTTGTGCCTGCGATGGCAATTTCCAAGATAAGTAGAAGTATATAAATATTAAGTGTAGTATACCATCAAATATTGTAGACAACTTGCATAAGAAGTAATCCAAATGAAATAAATGACAGTAAGAACTTTTAATATGGCACTGAATTTTAATAAAGAAGAAATTGGATAGGAAAGACAAACATTTTGAACCAAATGAGTGGAAGCTTTTAAGATTCAAAGAAGCACTTTTTTTAATAGTATCACGCCCATAAAGTATTTGAACTTATCTCGAGAAAATCTTCATGAAAATTAGTCTTAGTTTAGCTCATCTTGAGAAAGTCCTTCATAGTATTCCCGTTGCCAAAAACATATAAGTAAAGCAGTAAACAAATACAACAAAAAGATTCCCCAAACAACCAGTTTAGGCATAACAGCAAAGTTTGCCAGTGTGCACCTCTTTTCCAAATAATCCTGACAATGAAGTGTGGCCTTTCACCATGTCCGCATAGAAGTCAACAACTTTGTGCCACGGCCTTGCATACATGAACTGGTAACATTCCCTACCAAATCAAATATAAGTCATTAGCTAAATTGCATATAAATCAGAGAATCCTAGCTACACGCATAACCATTATTACATATTTTCCATATAAATAAAACATTATACAATTAAAACCCCATCCCAGCAACCAGCATTAGACACAATCCTCTGAAAAATGTAGCATTATAGTTGAAGAAGCAATTTAACTAACTCCACCTGAAGAATCAAACACAACCCACATAGTTGAATGCAATAAAATCATATATGGAATGGCACTATCAAAATTCAATCTTGAACGCAACTAACTCGACTCGAAGAATCAAACACAACCGACATAGTTGAGTGCAATAAAATCCAATATGGAACTACCAAAATTCAATCTTGAATACAGCTAAAAAAAGCGCAGCTTGAATCTTGCTGTTAACAATAGCAACTAAATTTTCATTCCAGAACTAAATAGAACAAAAAAGGAAAACGCCAAAAAGTTGTGAAAAGGAAAGGGCAAAAAGTGAAGTGTTAATGGGAAATTTAGTAACTAACTTGGCAGTCCATCTGGAGAAGTTGGCAGAATCAGTGTGGTTATAGTGAAAATGGGCCTTTTGGTAGGCAGAACGAATCTGAGAATGATTTTCCATAAGATTTCCCAGAGTCCTTACTGCCGTTGGGCACCTTAACATCACCCACTCGCCGGAGATAAAAACTAGCGGCGGGATGCAGTTGAGTTTGAGTGCGTTTTCAAAATGTTTCCTCGTAGTTCTTATACTAGTACCCAATACTTTTTGGTTATTAAGGTTTACCTTGTTATAAAATAAAAATTGTATTGTTAAGTATATAAACCAAAGAGGGGTATAGAGAGATTATATATTTTTTAACTTCAAATTGATGTTCATAATGAACTGAAATCTTCTCTATTTATAGAAGAAAGGAAGTAATTGCGAGACTTTTCAAGAAGCAACTACGAGGTTTTTATTGAGATGCTTGTAACTTGTGTGCATGAGCTGCTTGCAACCTGCATGTTTAATATGAAGTATCTACAAGTCATTTCATTGAGTTGCTTGCAATAAACTTCAATGGAGTACTAAATGAATAGTTTTCTTAAGAAAGATTATCTACAGAGGGGTATTAAATGAACATCCGCAATATAATATTTTCATAACACTCCCTCTTGGATATTCATTATTATGTGCCTCGTTAAAACCTTTACTGAGAAAAACTCCATGGGAAAAAAGTATTAGTAAAGGAAAAAGAGTACACATATTTAATAATATGCATTGCTGGCTGACTCATTGAAAAGCTTACAAGAAAAATCATGTGAGAAAAATCTTAGTAAGGAAAAAAGAGTACAGTGCATATTTTACTCCCCTGATGAAAACCTTGTTTGAAATATTTGAATCTCTGCATTCCAATCTTGTATACCATCTTCTCAAAAGTTGAAGTTGGTAAAGACTTAGTGAATAAATCTGTCGGGTCACTTGGACGAATTTGCCGGTTTGAGATCGAGCTTTACGGGAATCAGATAAATAACTTGCATTTGCATAACCAACGAGATATGTTGTTAGCATAAAACAAACTCATATCAAGGTTCCCTTTAAATATTGCAAGGTATGCTTACTCGTTCCCATGTCTCCGTGTAGGAGAACAACTATATCTTGCTAGTAAATTAGCAGAAAATGCTATGTCAGGCCTTGTAGTATTAGCAGGATACATAAGTGCACCAATTGTACTGAGATAGGTATTTCAAGACCAAGGAGTTCCTCATCCTCTCTTGGAGGTCGGAACGGATCCTTGTTCATTCCAAGTGATCGAACAATCATTGGTGTATTCAATGGGTGCGCTTTGTCCATGTAAAAGCGTTTTAAGACCCTTTATGTATAGGTCGATTAATGGATCAAGATCCCGTCTGCTAAATGTTCAATTTGCAGACCAAGATAAAATTTTATCTTTCCAAGATCTTTCATCTCAAATTCTTTCTTAAGATATTCAATTGCTTTTGGAGCTTTTCTGGAGTTCCAACAAGATTTATTCTATCAACATAAAAAGCAAATATAACAAATTTTGATGATATTTTCTTTATAAAAATATATGGATAAATAACATCATTTATGTAACCTTCTTCCAGCAAATATTCACTGAGGAAATTAGACCACATGCACCCAGATTGCTTTAAACCGTACAAAGACTTTTGTAATTTGATCGAGTACATTTCTCGAGACTTTGAATATCCTTCAGGGATCTTCATATAAATTTGACCAAATGAGTCTTATAGATTATGTCATGCATTTAAATGCATGGCATATTCAGGTGTATGGCAGGTATGATCCTTACAATCTTTTATAATATTGTGCACTATATTGTATCAAATATATTGTCGACGGTCATTTTGTATCGGTTCGCAAGCAACATAACTTGTTGAGATCTCATCACATTTTTTATTTTCAGGTACCTCAACTTCTTCTGGAGTTTCATGAAATATTATGTCGTGGGCTCTTCTAGAGCTCATCTCCTCCTCATTATGATCATTTTGATCATTTGCTCCTATCATTTTTCAAGAATTGTTACCTTTGGAACTGATTGGTCTACTACGCTTCATGCGTGCAGTAAACTCTATATTCAGGGACTTAATTTTAATAGGAGCATTTGCAGTTGAAATATGATATTTAATTTTGGATCATCAAATGCTTATGGCATTTTGACTTGAATTATCTTCTGAATGAGGATTCGATTCATATAACATATTTTCCAGCTGCGTATTCCATCCACCAAATGTTTAAAAAAAACTAACATATATCCCCAATCTTCTTTGGGGAACGTATCTTTGTACATTATGGTAGAGAAATTAATCATATATCACACATCAAAATTTAGATACAAAAAATATTTGGTTTTTTATCTTAAACCTATGGTGAGGGGATGACTTATCATATCTTGTTGGTTTGATTCATACAAGTGCCATTGTATGCGTTTTAGAAATTCTTAGACCAACACAGGAAGCTTTGTTCTCATAAGTAATAGTTTAACCATTAATAGGAGGTACTCAATGCTAAACCAGTTTGGATATAAACCATCATTATCAAGATGAACTGTCTTGATTGCATAATCTGAAAATTAGCTCTTGATTGAGAAAAGCAATTTCAAATGTCAACCTGCAGGTTGACAATAAACACATATGTAACCATCTCATATATGCATCTATAAGTGGCTCACATGATAGGTGAATGGGCCCATATTCACCTTTTATATATTTTAGAATTCAGGGGTTTTAGTCCCAACTTTAGCTGGTATATTCAATTTATTATGAGAACAAGCAACATAAAAGAATTTTTGAAGAATCTTCTAGTTCTTCAATATATGCTTATCATAATTCTCAATTACCTCCTCATACTTAAATCGGATGGAAATATTGGTTATACCGAGTGATAACTTATTTGCACTTGAAAACTTCAAGTTTATCATGGCAAGTGCTATCTTTCAATAAACTTTTAGTTTACTATGGCATAAACACTTGCATCAGTAAACTTCTGGTTTACTGTGGCTACTTTTGTATCAGTAATTTCTAGTTTACTGTTGCTACTTTTGCATCAGTAAAACTTCTGATTTTCTGTAATTGCTTTTGTATTAGTAAACTTCTGATTTATTATGACACGTGATGTAGTACAAATTAAAGAATAAGGTGGGTAACTTCTCACATACATATTATTTTACCCCTTATGATTATGGAAACAAAAAGATTTTCAATCTTCCAATCATTTGTAGTCTCAATATGATATCCATTTGTATTAGTAAACTTCGGGTTCACTACAACATATGTTTTGACCATAACATATTTGTATATAAGTTCTTTGAGAGCCTTCATTTATCATCCACCATCTAATATTATTCAGATACTACTGGTATCATGTATCTTCTAAACAAACAATTAGCTCTTCAGGAGTTTTTGATACATTTTGTATTGTCAAATATTGCTCGGACACTTTTGGTATGATGAGAGAAAATCATAATCAATGAACAATATAAAGACAATTCTAACTTTATAAATGATAAAAATTAAGAATTTCAGTATTTTTACCACCAACTTTGTGACAAATGTCTCCTTCAGGGAGAAACACCATTAACATCTGTATATTTTATATCAAAGCGACAATCACATAGTCATTACATCCGAAAAAATACACGAATTGTCATTTTCTTCGGGGTAGTTAATAACAACTAACCATAATATATCAACGTGGTTATAATGAAAAGTATTCTACAAAAATCCTTTTGCATTTGAATGAAAATTTATCAAAGATGTTTGATGTACAACAGGTACGTGCGGCAATGATCTCTATGCCACAAAAATAATATTTATATTCTTTGTTATTCTACCTCTTCAGGAGGTGAGTTGTAGTATTCCTTCAATCACTCCAGGGAATGAAAATGTACTTCAAAAATAACTTTGAATAGCAATTTTGTTAAGCCCAAGAAGACACAACTTCATAATATTTTCTGCTGCAGGAGAAAATTTTAGTTGTTTACTACTTCAGGAGTAAATTTTAATGTTTGCTACTTCGGGAGCAATTTGAGATACAAAATATTGAGTATATATTCTCTCAATTATATTACCTCTTCTGGAGGTGAATTGTACTATATTTACATCAAGAGCGCGTTCATATTTACAAGCATTATTAATATTACTACATTCACTTCAGGGAATGCATTAATATTTGTCAAAAAATTTCATCATTCACGGAATGAAACATAATTATCTGAACGTACCACATCAAATTGTGATGGCTTCGAACCTTTTTTACTATATTTGCTACTTTAGTAGCAAATCGAGGTATGCATGTAATATAGAGATTTTTTTTTCTTTTTCTGTAAGTTATCTTTATTTTAACCATAGCAAGCCAAAATTATCACTTCTGGTGGTCATAAGCATATACCACTTCGAGTGTTTAACAAAATTTTGTTACAATGAGATATACGGAACATAACCACTTCTGGTGGTTGTATATTTCTTGCAAACTCTGTTGGAGTTTAAGTGGATCTAACAATGTTACCCCCTTTGTAGTCCTTTATTAAGATGATTAGGATGAAAACAAATACCACAATAGGTACTGTATACGTAGCACATAACCAAGCAAGTGATGATAAAGATATTAAATCAAATATAAGCAAAAGGCTCAAATTATTTTATACAAATTTGACCACGCCAGACGTAAGTGATATCTACATCACTACTGTCAAGAAGAAAAGCTCACCACATCAAGGATATAATCTGCCTTACGATGCTCGAAGTGAACAAGATCTAACCACGAAGGTAAGAGCATCGCCTTACATCGGAGATGGACACCTGGATATTTTCAAAGTATTTGCTCGGGAAGGCAGAGTCTCGTGCTGATAACGTGTTATAAAATAAAAACTGTAAAGCAAATAAATCGAAGACATGTATAGAGAGAGATTGATATATTATTCAACTTCAAACTGATGTCCATAATGAACTGAAATATCCTCTATTTATAGAACAAAGAAAGCAGCGACGAGGTTTTTCTTGAGCTGCTTGTAAGTTGTCTGCATGAGCTGCTCGCAACCTGCATGTTTAATAAGAAATTGTTGCAAGTCATTTTATTGAGTTACTTGAAACCTGCCTGCATCAGCTGCTTGTAGATAAACTTCAATGGATAATGTTCTTCAGGAAGATTATATAGAAGGGGATATTAAAAGAACATCCACAATATAATATTTCATAACAAAGCCGACATATTCACTTGTGTTTTTTTTAGCAAATATACCA